TGGACTCAATTTTTTCTTGTTAGTTAGACAACAAAATTTCCAATAATATACAAAAAATTTCAGATCAATATCGTTTACAGATCCAAAAATATACGTTTTTTAATCTAAAAATTCAAAAAATTTTAGATTTTTGGCGTTTTTTTTGCCAAAAATGTGTCTTAACTCTTTTATTAATAAAATAAAATTTTTATTAAGAACATATAACAATTTTATAGTTTTCTAAAAGGTATCTTTACGCAGAACGCTTTGGCGTAAAAAACTTGTCCTATTTTTTGAAAATGTTGCCACTGCGTCCTTCCGAATATGACCTATTTTTTATCAAAACTTCAACTTTGGGCGACATGTTCTAAAATCCCAAAGCTGGGATCAGAAAACTGAAAGCAGTTTTGGAAACCTCAATATGTTTTCTATTTACTCCAAAAGTATTTTCCCAGCCCTGAAAGAAATGTGGACCCTATGGGCAAAAAAGTAAAAAATCCCATTTTTGGGATTTTCATTCCTATTTTTGGGAATTGCGGGATGCCCTTTGACCTTTTCAATTTTTTTTTTGCATATTCTTATTTGAAATGACAAATTTAACAAGCGTTGAAAATTTCATTGAGTTTTGTTCATAAATAAAGATTTTGTCATATATTACATATTTGTTTAATTTCTAAAACTATGATTTATATCAAAATTTTAATAGGATCGCAGATAGCTACAACAATTTAGTCCATATTTATCCCTTAATATCATTTTTTAGTTAGATATGGAAATTCTCGACCCTTTACAAAAAATTTCAAGCCAATATCTCAATTACATTCAAAAATATGTTCATTTAAACCTGTGTCCTTTAATTTCATCTTTTTCATATTTTAGTATTAAGTATGACAGAACATAAATTTGGTGTTGAATAAAATATTTGGACAATTTTTAAAAATTATTTAGTTAATTATTTTATTATAATATTGTATATAAAATAAAAAAAATTATAATTTTATTATGAGCCACGCACAACAACACCTAAATCACCCCACACAAATTACCTTTCCCGCCCACCGAAATATAAAACACAATTTAATACAATATCATCAGTTAGTATAATAGCTTTTTTTATTTGAACTGTTTATCTTAAACATAATACAATTAATTCTTACAACCTACTTATATAGTTAATTCCTAACACTACTTATTTTCTATAAAATAATCTGTCATATCGGTATACATATCCAGAAGGTAATATAAGTCCTTTAAATCTTCCTTGTTTTGAGATGATAGAGTTTCATAACAAATCCATCTTTTTCGCATAGTTGAAAGAACAGGATCAGAAGATAGAAGTAAACTATTAAAAATATCTTCATTCTGTGATTGCCTGGAGCATTTTCTTGAGCTGAATAGTTGAACATGCTTAAAATCTCGATTCCTCGCTTCCTGGGCTTCTTCTGTTAACTCTCCAAGTGGAAGAATATTCGATTCAATTATTATTTGACCATGACACAATACTTTGTGTACTGTTGGTGTTAGTTCCCTCTATGGATACAGAGATACAAGTAATTTAGAAATTTCAGATGTGTATTCCCCAAATCGATTTTCATTAATTTTATGTTTACTATTCAGTGCCATTAAAATAGTTTTAACTCTTCGAAGCAACTCCTTGTCGATTCCAGTTATTTTTGAAGTAATTTCAAAATCACGAAAAAACCTTCTCGACGTATTACCGTCATTTGTACTACCGCAACTTGAAAGTGGTTTGTCGATGTTTAATCCCATCTGAACTTTAAATTCTTCTTGGATTCTGCTTTTTTCCGCAGCTCTCAGTTCTTTCAATTCTTCATTATTTTTTGTTGATTTAGTAGGATAGTTTGTTTTTTTTTCCTGGATCGCCTTGTATGATGGTAATATATTGTGTCCTTTTTCATGCAGAGCTTTCCTTAATATTTGGTACTTATTTCGACTGAGACCCAGTTCCAACATAAGCGCTATTGCTTCCTCTTCAGTAAAATTTGATTATGATGTTGGAGTTGGTATACTTTCCACAATTCGCTTAAGTCGTTTTGGTGATGCATTAGGAAGAATAGTTGCAATATGTACGACATCCATATGTTGGTTTTCCTTTTTCAGCATTTCGTTAAATGTATCAGCAATTTCCTCATTTGAGATTGAAAAAAGTTTTTGTGTGACCCTCTTTTTTTTACCTTGAACATAAGTCTTCGTATGACTTGCAAGGCGCTCCTATTGATGTGTTGTAAGTTGAGATTTCCGTAGTAGTTTCCATCCAACTACAAAATTTTAATCGAAATTTCTTTTGATTTCCATCCACAGACTTACTTTTTACATCAAAAAGTTTTTAAAAAGTTTTCAATTTTTGATATGCCTGTTTTGTCTACTTTTCTACTATATGTAGTTTTTATATAATTTGAAATGTCTTCAATTCTTTCTGGCCCTTTTGAAGATATACTCCATAAAACGGAACACAACTCTTCGTACTTTAATGTAATCTTCATTGTAGATTTATTAAATATGGTACTTAAAATCTGAGAAGTTTACTTATATACCAATTCTTGTCATTTCCGATACAGGTATTCCAAAGTAAAAAATTACGAATTGTCTACCTATTAACATTTAGGACTATATTACTATAACCTGTAATTCAGTCATTGATATTTCTTATTAGTGAATGAATCGAAATTATCATTACCTGTATATTTTTACCTACATGATCATAAACGAAACAGAACGAAATGATCTGTCGAAAAAATTTAGGTAAAAAATAGTTATAAATTTTTGAAAATTTAAGCATAATAGGACCTTTCAATTATAACAAATAGAAAAATAGGTAAATATAAGATTTAAATATGTGCTGTCATACTTAATACTAAAATATGAAAAAGATGAAATTAAAGGACACAGGTTTAAATGAACATATTTTTGAATGTAATTGAGTATTGGCTTGAAATTTTTTGTAAAGGGTCGAGAATTTCCATATCTAACTAAAAAATGATATTAAGGGATAAATATGGACTAAATTGTTGTAGCTATCTGCGATCCTATTAAAATTTTGATATAAATCATAGTTTTAGAAATTAAACAAATATGTAATACAAATATACAAATATACAAATATGTATATGACAAAATCTTTATTTATGAACAAAACTCAATGAAATTTTCAACGCTTGTTAAATTTGACATTTCAAATAAGAATATGCAAAAAAAAAAATTGAAAAGGTCAAAGGGCATCCCGCAATTCCCAAAAATAGGAATGAAAATCCCAAAAATGGGATTTTTTACTTTTTTGCCCATAGGGTCCACATTTCTTTCAGGGCTGGGAAAATACTTTTGGAGTAAATAGAAAACATATTGAGGTTTCCAAAACTGCTTTCAGTTTTCTGATCCCAGCTTTGGGATTTTAGAACATGTCGCCCAAAGTTGAAGTTTTGATAAAAAATAGGTCATATTCGGAAGGACGCAGTGGCAACATTTTCAAAAAATAGGACAAGTTTTTTACGCCAAAGCGTTCTGCGTAAAGATACCTTTTAGAAAACTATAAAATTGTTATATGTTCTTAATAAAAATTTTATTTTATTAATAAAAGAGTTAAGACACATTTTTGGCAAAAAAAACGCCAAAAATCTAAAATTTTTTGAATTTTTAGATTAAAAAACGTATATTTTTGGATCTGTAAACGATATTGATCTGAAATTTTTTGTATATTATTGGAAATTTTGTTGTCTAACTAACAAGAAAAAACTGAGTCCATTTGGTCCAAAATTACGCCCGGTATTCAAAAAAAGGCGGACCAAGGTATGGTAAATTTTGTATCACTAAATTTTTAAATGCCTATAACTCGGATATTATAAGAGATAAGTAGTATGTCCAAGCATGTTTTTTCAAGATCTCGTCGAGCGCTTTCAATATAAAAATCTTTGTATTTGGGTGAAAAACAAAAAAATGGCACGAGTTTAAAAATTTTACATGTCGTAGGTACCCTACTTTGAGCCGCCACAGCGCCGTCCCTGGGGCATCTGCAGGGTTCATCTTCAAAACTTAAACTCGAATACTCCTTGGCTACGCTCACGCCAAATTTTATTCCGATCGGATCAGCCGTTTAGAAATGCCAGATTTATTTCCAAAAAATTTCCATTCTGCCCCACTGTGCATAGTTTACTACACTTTAATATTTTTAAATTAAACTAGCTTTTCCCAGTGTGCCTTTCTATCCTAAAAACAATATAATTAAAAGACCAACTTTAGCTCTAATAGATTTTAAGCTAATAGTTTCCCAGATATACAAATTTATGTATTTAATTCATATAGGATGTACCACGGCCCCTATTGCTAGTCCGTCCATTTTTTCTTAAATACTTATATTGACACTAAAGAAGGTCCAACAAAATTTGAGGACTCTAACTGTTATATTTTCTCAAATACACTAATTCAAGATTTTCTACATATAGGAAGTGCCACTTCAAATATAGCTAGGCTGCTCATTTTGTCCTCATATCTTCATATGGATGTGAAGGTCGTCCACATAGGAGGTCTCCAGCTGTTACAGTTTCTAAGATATGCTACCTTTAATACTTATTTTTGTATGTGTCAACCCGCTCACTTGAAATTTCGAAATACAAAGTAGCCTCTAATTCGGCTGACTTTCAAAACGTACCAATACAAAGTTTAAACACAATTTTTATACATGTAAAGTTTCAAAAAATTGTAACGATGCTTTGTTTATTTTCTGCTCGTTCTAAAATATAGAAGATGCAAAATATGTTTTTAGTAAGGCAGCTGTTTGTGTAGTTTTAGCAAATATTTTCAACAAGCATTAACATTGAATTTGATGTGCTGATTACCATTTCGCTGCATTTCTATTACTTGTCGATGACGTTTTGAATCGGTATGAAACGTTATGAAATACTGTACAATTTTCGTACACAAAGCAGCTAACGTTTTGGAAGTCATCATTCCAACGGTTTAACCGTCTATAGACTTCAAACAAACATATACATATAGATGTGCACAAATTGGTTATAAATTATAACAGAAATGTATTGTACATTTTGCTTAAAAAGTTACTTAAATTTTAAATAAAAAATATACAAATTACTTATAATATAGTGTCAGCGTATCTCCGTTGGAAAAAAGCTTTTCAATGTCGTTTTTAAAGTACATTCCTTATTTTGCAGCTTTACCGCGAATTGCTCTAAAATTTCTTCAACATCTTTCGACGAAGACATTTCGAATAATAAACCTTTATCGGTATACGTTGCCTGCAAAATTCGCCATTCCAAATGAGGCAAATCCAATTTGTTGACTATAAAAGAGCGTATATGATCGACAGCGTTATCAACGAAAGGGTATACGGGGCAGTCTCTCAACAATAGACGATTTGTTTGAATTTCGTTATTAACTCGAAATCGAAAATTTGTATTTATATTGTCCCGTTTAGTAACGCATAAATCAAGAGTGGCTAAAACAGAAACATAAAACCACACATTATTTTATTGTTTTACAAAGATATTTTTGAATTTGTTTGTTTCGTAGAACATGACTCACCAGCTTGTGTTATTGACATTATAATATAGAATGCTGATAATTTTAAAAATGCTCTTGCGTACATTTTTTTATTCGATTCAAAGCTTGGGTTGTTAATCAGCCGGTTTTAATTTTAATACTGCGTGATCTTATCGTTTGTACCGCTTATTAAATATAAAATTGATTTGTTTGGTTTATAATCTCTCATTCTCAATAGGGAAGTACGTAAAGAGAAACTATATACAAAATTTTGCATACTTAAATGTGTAGAGTCTAGAGTGTAATCTTCTCTTGATTAAAATATTTACTTAATTCAAATTGGGTAATTTACAGATTGCTATAGATTTTTTATAAAAGAAGAATATTGGGTTTTTCCTTTTTGAGTATTAAATATAACAGAGTGAATTTGTTTTGTGCTTTTACGTTAAGATTGCGATGAATTTTGTATAAATTTTGCCGTTTAAATAAATATTAAAAAATAATTATTTATTTTGAATTGGTTATTTTTTTTAATAATAAAGAAATATTTAAATAGAAATATTTTAACAATTTGTTGACAAAAACAGGGATTTTCTAAAAGAGGGGTTATATGGGGGTAGTGGGTTAATATGGACCTATCCCTATGAAGTTAGTTAGAGTGATTAAAGTTAGTGTTTATAACTGAATTTTGATCATCAAGTCATTTTCTGAAGGGGACTTTAATGAGGCCCGATTATTACGAAAATCAGCAGTATCATTATTCTTATTTAAAACTAAGTTTGGCGGATTTTTGGAGTGATACAAGTATATTTGAAATATTTATGAGCTTAAAATCTCTATTAGGGGCTACGAGAAATAATGGACAGATTTTAGCTATTTTCAATAGGATTCGTCTTTGGGTCAAAAGAAGAGTATGTGACAAATTTCATCAAATTATCTAGCGTGTACACAGACGTACAGAAAGACAGATGGACATAGCTAAATCGACTCAGAAAGTGACTCTGAGCCGATTGGTATACTTTAATTCAATATAGTGGTGCAAGGTATAATAAAATGAATGTTTCTATTATTTAGCAACCAAAGTGCTTTATATTTTATTATACCCCACACCACAATAGTAGGTAGGTTATTATGCGTTTGCTGATGTTTCTAAAACCCAAAAATAATATTTATGTCCGTCCATCTATCCGCATTTTATAATATAATTTGATGAAATTTGGCATATGCTCTTCTTTTTTCCAAGGACGAACGCCATGGAAATTGGTTGAAGTCGGTAAATTATTTCACTTAGTTCCCATACAACCGGGCCCCACGAATTGGACTCTTGACCTCATAATTATATTAACCAATCCAGATCTCTATAAAAATTGGGAAACTCGAGCCTCATTTGACTCTAGCCCCATAAGGAAAATAATATAACAGTTAGAGTTAGGAAAAAAAGTAGGCGGACTAGCATTAGGGAGCGTTGGTACCTCCCATATAAATTAAATACAAAAATTCGTTTATCTTGGAAACTATTACATTTAAAATTTTTTACGAATAACTTTAACATCCATTTGAACATTTTGGGTAATAAATTTGCGGACTACCCATAAGGGGAGCGGCACCTTCCATATTTTATCGTTTTCTGGGAAACTAATTGATCTAAATTCAAATTTTGCACAAAGACCTTAATATTCATCTCAACATTTTGGAGGAAAAAAGTTAAATTATAATTGAATTAAATAGAAAAATTCGTTATCTGAGAAACTACTAGAGCTGGAATCTTAAAATTTTACTTGCAAATTTTGACATTTAGAGTATAACGGGCACCTCCCATATGAATTAAATATAAAATTTCGTTTATCTGAGAAAAATAATAGAACTTGATTCTTAAAATTTTGCACAAATTACTTTAATATTCATCTGAATCATTCATTCATTTTGGAGGAAAAAGTGCGGACTTTCATCTGGGGAGCTTGAAGCCCCCACATGAATCAAATAGAAAAATTCGTATATCTGAGAAACTATTAGAGCTAGAATATTCAAATTTTACATGAAGAACTTTGACATTCATGTGAACATTTAGAGAATAACGGCGGACTTTCAATGGGTGGCTTGGCACAACATATATGAATTAAATACAAAAATTTATTACTGAAAATAAATCGCATTTAATATTCGCAATTGGTGTAGGGTATCATATGGTTGGTTATGTCCGACTATAGTTTCTCACTTGTTTTTTATTTTGTTTCTCTCTTTTCATTTTACTTTTTTGTTTTTCAGGGCATTATTTATTTTTCAATTTCAACAAAAATTAATATGCAACACGTGGCATTCTTTAGATCCTTTATATATTAGTACATGTACAAATACACCGAAATGTAAAAGAGTGCGTGTTTATCAAGGTCTGTGTAATGTTTTTAAATGTACTATATACATGAATGGGTATCTGCTAGTGCTTACTCATCCTGTGGAAAGTATGTAGTATATTTTATTTGTGTGCGTAGAATTGTATTTTCCCAGATAACATTTGGAAGATTGTTGGATGATTAATTAGTAAACTTTTTTACTTCTTCTATTTATTTAAAAGTTATTAATAAGTTGCGCGATTATAAAATGATTAAAAAATGATATCCATATACGATTCAAAACTGATTATTTGAAAAGCAATTACAAAATGAATAGCAATCATAAATTTATCATCCTGGAGTATAGTATTATTGTATTTGTTTGTACCAGACATAAAAATAACTCAAAAAAGACTCAAAAATTACTAATATAAGTTTCGAAAAAGACTCTAAAATGACCAGTAATTCGACTCAAAAAAGATTCAAAAATGAGTTAGAACTGATCAAGAAAGAAGAAACAAAGTATCACATATATCATAATTTTAATCCTGCAGAAGTGTGATAAATGACACGAATGTGATCAAAAATCTAAGAAAAATTTTACCTGGGTTAGTGTAAGAAATTTTATAGTCATTGAATTCCCATGCAACACAAAAGAGTAAATAATAAGAACATTTGTTTACCAAACTGATGAAAATTTGTTAACATTAAAAAGCAACAAGAAAAAGAGAAAATAGTGTTTTTTATTTAACTTAGTACTACCACACAATCTACTCTACTCAATTTGGTGTAGCGGCTACTACCTACAGATATATATATTTTTGGTTTCTTTTCACTTTCTAGTTTTTTTAGTACAGAAGTTTAAAAGACTTTAAACTTTACTAAAATAAATGTTCGACAACGGTTATTGGTTGAACAAATATGAACATTCTGAGCAAAATATAGCTAGGCATGATAACCGGAATCATTTTGTAAAGAATTCACCAAGTTTCTCAATGTTATGGGTAAATGTTAGAAACATATTACTAATTTGGTACATGGCGAAGGTACCAAAATTAAATAAAAATACAAATCATAAAAAATAAGTATAAAACTATATATATTGTCTATGAGATTTATTATACATATTAATCGTTTCGCATTTTTTCTTTAATATCTACGCTTTACGCCCGAAAAACTGATTGTTTCAGAATTTTGTAATGTACTCATACTTATAGAGGCATATATGTATATTGTCAAACCAACTGTACCCAGCAAAAAAAAGAACTTCCAAAGAAGCGAAAAAGAAGTAGAATTTACTCCATGGAAGTACTGAAAAAGAGCTGAAGAAGTGATGATTTTAACACAGGCTTGTCCTTTTTATTTGATTCCAAATTCACTACTTCTGAAGTCTTCTCAAGAAGTAATTTTTATGCTCTTTTTATGGAAGTTATTCGAAAGTAAAATTGTATTATTATAGAATACAACTAATTTGACTTAAATAATTTTAACATTAATGAGGGTAATAGATACATTTAATAAAACAGAACAAAAAAATATCTTCAGCTTTGAAAAAAAAATAGAATTATTTTCGCATATTCGGAAGTCTTTAAACATCACTTCCTCAGAAGGTTAAAAAATTCACTTAGTGCTACTTTTAAAGTGGTGATAAATGTTATTCTTTTGCAAGTACTTCGTTTTATTTTTGCTGGGTAGTTTCCTATACAACTTCATTAATGAAGCAGTTAAATTTTATAACTTTCGTTCATAAAGTTTAAATCTACTGAATTAATTCCTTTATAATTACTTGGCACAAACACCTTTTTCCAAGGACCAAATAATGAATAAAAAGTAAAAACAGAATACCAATACCAGCAGAAGTAGCTGTAGAGTCTGTGTAAATGTGGTGTCAAAGGAATCATAAAAGCAAAATACGTGCGTAAAATCCAAACGTGTTGAGAATCCAAAACCAATAGTCATCATCACCACCATCAGAATTAAACTATACTTCTACGTAAATGAAAATGAGAGTACATTTTATATAATTTCGAACTAGATTTTAATAACTAGGTGAGAAATGTTTTCAAACAATCATTCCGAGCACGACAACAACATCAAATTAAAAGAATGGGTGACACTTACTTCCATGTTATTATTGTTGCTATTAAAATATTTATGTTTCATTAAGGTCTAAAGGTTACGATAAAGTAATCAATTCTTAACGATAAAAATAATTTGTTACTTCAGTAAAAAAAACAGCAAACAATAAAACAAAAATAACAACAAGTCAAAATTAAGAACAAATTCCAGAAGCAGCAACAGCATCCATCCTTCTTAAAACATCAATCATCAGAATGAGAGTTTTTAGTCGTATTTGTTAAAAGGATTCTTTACTTATTTCCTTCCACACATACATACATATTATTGTATATAAGTAAGTATTTATATGTATAAGTAAATAAATATGTGTGTGTTTTATGTCATTGTTAATCCTTGATGAAAACAAAATGTAGTAAAAATGAGAAAAAAGCTGGAATAAAGTCATTAAGAAAATAACTTTGTATGTCATGGATTAAAAATGAAACGTGTATGGTGCTAATGTTGTTATTATTTTTCTTCTCTTGATAAATTAAAATTTTTCGATATTTTTTTGGCAGTAATATTATATATGGCTTTATATATTTTTAATAAATTTAAAATTTTATTAATATATATATAAAAAAATTAAATAAATAAGAAAGATATTTTGTTGCATATTTAGTTGATCGATATATTAATTAATTAGTGCCCCCCCGAAAAAAACCTTTAGCACTCATAACTGTTTTAAAAATGCGATTATAGCGACAAAACTCGACATAAATAAGTGTCATAAATGT